GTGTTATAAGCGGTGACCATTAAAATAAAGTGAAACTGCTGAAAAACTAACAATACTGGCTCTTCGACATAAACCTTTTCCTATTAAAGATAAAAAAAAAATTTATCCAATATATGTTCATGTCTTTGGAGCTGTGTAAAACTATAAAATAAATTACTATTACTAATTTTTATAAGCGGTGACCATTAAAATAAAGTGAAACTGCTGAAAAACTAACAATACTGGCTCTTCGACATAAACCTTTTCCTATTAAAGATAAAAAAAAAATTTATCCAATATATGTTCATGTCTTTGGAGCTGTGTAAAACTATAAAATAAATTACTATTACTAATTTTAATGTTTAAAACAAATAAATTACAAAAAGAAACTGAGGGATGACTGCTATAGATATAGATGTTTGGAAGGGAAGAATGTTTGATTTGATGTGTCTCGTTGTAATCAACATAACTTTTCCGGTTGCTTAAAATTTGTATCATTTTAATTTTCTGTAATCCCAAATTTATTTCAGCTCTATTTAAAAGCCCCCCCCCGCCCTCTCCCCCCCCCCCCCCCCCCTCAGCTCACCACGCCGATGGGGAAAAAATCCCTTGAATCATCATTTAATTACACATTTGCATTTTCAGGTTTTTTTTTAAAAATAAAATTATAATTAGACATTTTGTATTAGATCTATGTACATTCAACGCTATTCGAAAACAAAGTGTGAACATCGGTAGTGGAAAGCATGGAACTATTGCCACGGGGCTGACCCCAACACATTTGTGGGGGTGGACCTAGTGCCCAAGTAGCTGTCAGATGTCCGTATTCGCTCTACTCATTGTTTTTGTCTTGTTTGAAGGTGTTTCTTTTATTTTTTTACAGTGTAACATTTGTTACGAGTTTTGAAAATGAAATAATATAATTTATATATATAGTTCTCTTCTGGGAGATGTTAGAAAACAAGCTGCAAGCGCGGCTTGCAGTCCCCTCTCTTCCTCTCTATCACTACCATCCCCACTCCAACATGGTCTGGTGAGCTGTGGTTCACTCTAAATGTTTACAATCGTAGAGCCAGGTTTAGTGACGGCTATTATGGGCAGATAATTTAGTTTGAAACGATATTTAACTTAGAGGAGGTAACAAAGAGGAGGCTGCTTTCACGGGCGGGGGGGGGGGGGGGGTATAGGGTAGGGGTTGGGGGAAAAGGGGGGGGGGGTAGTGTTTTAAAGCAAATATTTTTAGTGGCAGCATTGTTAATGTCGAATTTACAAATTATGAATTACTGAAAAGTAGAAAATAAAACAAACAAATAGCGGCGTATGATACGCCGCGTGTCGGCTCGTTATTAATATTTCTACATGGAGCTGGTGAGCCGCATTTTGACATCAAAAGAACCGCATGCGATCCGCAGGTTGCAGACCCCTGATCTAATACAAAACGACTAATGGTTTTTTTTTTACTGATGACAAATATTGCAGATAATTAGGCCTACATGAAGACTGAAAAAAAATTTGTAACTGAGTCAATATTTTGTTAAGAAATACTATATTCTATTCAATTACAGGTTTTCTTTCATAAACCATGTATTGCTATTATAATATGCATTCTATTTATAATAAGAATTACTTTGGTTTCTTTGTATGTTAAATAAAATTTAAAAAAAAAATAGTCAGATTAGTCAATTATTAGTCAAATATATAACCGATTTCCACGTTCAATGTATTTTTACTTTCTCGTATATACGAAGTATATAGAAAGTCTTGTAATCGTGCACAAAAATAACATTAAATTTAGACAGTTTTCAACGTTTTACTCCTCAGTCCTTCATCACATCCGGGATGTGGAGGACTTATTTTAATCGGGCAAAAATTATAAATCCAGATATATCAAAATTTTGGCGTTTTATGCGTAATGGAGTCGGAAAAACTGGATTATCCAATTCTGTCCGTATGTCTGTGTGTCTGTGTGTAAACACGATAACTTGAATACCGTTACAGCTAGATGATGAAATTTCATATATAAGTATTATATCAAAATCGTAGATCCGTCCCAACTTTTGATCGATTTCCGATAACCGGAAGTGGAACTTTTTCTACATTGAATTTTTTAAAAGCCTATAACTTGAGTACGATTTCAGCTGGATAAATGAAATTTCACATGTAAGTAAAAGATCTAATTCTCTGCCTTCTATCAAATTTTGAGTAATTTCCGTTGACCGGAAGTAATAATTTTCGCTATTTCCGATTTCTCAAAAAAACGCATGTGAAGTTATAAAGTACTAATAATATCCCGCACTATTCTGCACATTTTATATGACGTTCACTTTGTGTGCAATTCTTTTTTCTACGAGATTTTATTCTATTTTAAAAAGTTTGAGTATTTAAAATGGATTAAAAGTCATGTCTATATCCCGAATTGCCATTCCCTGTTGTTTCATATAAGAATATTCGAGAAAGTTTAGGGGAGATCACTCCCGGTTTATTAATTAGGTACTTCCCATTGTCTTAAACTGGTCAGGAAAGACAACTCATTACTGTTTCCAAAATTCGTAAAAAAAATATAAAATAATATAATTGTAATAAACTTATTTATAACGTGTAATTTTGTTAAAGTAATACATTTTTTATTATGTTGTTTATAATAAATTATACTTTTACTTATACATCTTAGATATTGCAAGAATTACTTTACAATAATCTAAAATAAAAACTGTTAGCTTTGTTAAGTCCTAGGAGGTTAATATTTGAAAACCCCCGTCAGTTTATCTATTAGAAGAATAGTTTTTCTCTTTTTAATTTTCTCTAATCCCAAATTTAGACGTTGTGTATTAGATCTATGTATCTATAAGTAAACCATCTTAAATGAATGAAAGACATATTATTCTTGTAAATCTGTATCAATCCTCACAAGCCGATGATGAAAACTGTAATACTAAAGCGAACATGCAATGCAAACTGACGCTGTGAATTACATGTATGAAGCAAAAAAAAAAAAAAAAAAAAAAATTACAATATTCTACTGACTTTTGAAATAGAACTTACATTAGTGTTAATAATTCTTTTTTAATGCAATCGAGTTACCAAGTCAGATTACTAGCAAAAAAAAAGCATTGACCAGTGTTTAAATTTAGACATAATATTGTTAGTTACAACTCAATGTACTGTATTGTAAAAGAATAATCATTTTCTAATACATTCATTTGAATTATGCAGTTACTTCCCATTACAATGTCAAAGCGGTCAAAGGGCACAGATTATTACTGTTTCCAAAAAGTCATTTTAAGTATAAAGAATCTCAATGGCAATAAATAATATGTATTATTTTTATTGCATTAAAATTTACATTTAAAGTTAATAAGACTCTCAAGCCAAATCTTATATTTCTTAGACATTATAACTTTTCATGAACTATAATTTAAAATAAAGCTATGTGTGATCTAGACATGGGGTCGGCAACCTTTCAAGACGGAAAATAAAAAAAACTAACAATTTACAAAATTTACCGGCTTTTAAAGAGCCACTAACATTTTAATTTCGTTACTTGCTTTTGATTAGGATTAGGTATTTATATAGGCATATATATATATATATATATATATATATATATATATATATATATATATATATATATATATATATATATATATATATAAAGTTTTAAATATGAAATAATATTTATTCATATTAGAAAATACACACGGTTCGCACAAAACATACTAAAAGTAAAGTTCCCTCTTCAAACCTGACGGCCTATAGGGCAAGTGAAGTAGAGTTCACTTGTTTCTGTGACCTCGGCATATGAAGAGATAGTGTGGTCAGCACTATGCCCAGCCGCCTTTACTTTCCCTAACGTGTTTTAGGTACCCATCAGATTTGGATGGACGCAGTCCAACTCTCTACCACTAGACCACTCCGTCCCCACAAAACATATTAAAGTATTTTAGCTACCTCTGCTAAAATAATAAAATTAGCAATCATATAATAAAACTATAATCATTGAATATTTACATTAGTTACATCAAAGGGAGCATTGGCCTTGCATGCATTTTGAAAGTTTGTTTAATTCTGGCTCATAACTTGTTGTTTTCAATTTCAAGCACGCCTTTATATTTTCATTTGTTGGTTAGCTTCTTACTTAACTTTTTATTATTTTCAAGTAAGATAACTCTTGCTAACACGAATATGTTGATCTAAAGATCGTCAGCACTCCAGATGTCAACTTCTTCAGCTTATTGTAGCTTTCTGTATAACTATTCCATGCGTCAAATATTAGTGACTCAACTCGCGGCATTTCTTTTAGAGCTGTGTACTTGCATGCTTTCTTAATCTCCAACTCTTGCAACTTTCTCTTGAGTTCTGTGAATTTACCACTCCACAAATGTTTGGTTTTCAAATCCAGCAATTGCATTTGAAGCCAACTAACAACAATTCCAAATTGCTAAATGTTGATCTCATTAGTTTTTGTGTTGAGAGGATCTACTATGAACGCCATCTGTTTTCAAGTGCTCATATCTCTCAGCGAAAAAAAGCATCCTTCATTTTGTTGATAGGAATGCTGTAGTGATTCATGTTAACATCACGATATTTTTTCCCCAGATTTTTCAAATATAAGTAATTTACCGATCTCCTTATCTTCAACAAAAACAAGCCATTTTTTTTTCTTCGAAACAATCCATTTTTTTCAAGCAAATGATATCCACCATGACGTTGATTTTTTTTTTCAATTTGGGATGGACACTTTAATTGGAAGTACATTGAAATAGGGAGTAACTAAATATTCTAAAAGAATAACACGTGTTTATTGTTATTATGTATTACCGAGTGTTGCAGAAAAATGTTTTTTTATGAGTTTTGAAAATAAATAATATAAATAATATAATTTGCGTATGGAACTCGAGAGCAGCATCTTGATATCAAAATAGCCACATGATTTTATCAGTGTAACCGGTATCCCAACAGTTGCATCTCGGTGTATGAATTATCCCCGTAGTTTTATAACCGTGTGTGCATTATCCCAACAGGTCTATCCCACTACACGAAAACATTGGAAAATGTGGAGGATTCTCTGGCATTTGATGAGGTGAGTGTGGAGAATGAACTATTAGATGTCATTAGATGTCATTCGATGCCATTAAATGTCATAAGGTGCTAATAAATACCTTTGTCATCAATAAATGAACGCTGAGAGTATGTATCTATTTCACCTAGTGAATGAATCAATTGTAAAACACACATAAACAAGTTGATCAAAAAGTTCGATATCCCTCTACACGAGTCTGTGTACATAAACAATAGATTAGAATCTAACCCTGTCCTCTGAAATTGTTTACTGTCCTGTTTACTGTCCTATACTTACTGTCCTCTTTTTACAGTCATCTGTTTACTGTCCTCTACTTACTGTCCTGGAGTTATTTACTGTCCTCTATTTACTGTTCTCTACTTACTGTCCTGACATTGTTTACTGTCCTCTATTTACTGTCCTGACATTGTTTACTGTCCTCTACTTACTGTCCTGTGTTTACTGTCCTCTGACATTGTTTACTGTCCTCCAGATGTTTGAGTGGCCAGTGGCCCGACCCATCGAAGCCGAGGAGGTCATCGACATTCAGGTCTTCAACTACAACAAGTACTTGAGTAACAGGTGGGTGGTGGTCGGTGTTGTACAGGTACAGGTACAGGTAGGTGGTGGTCGGTGTTGTACAGGTACAGGTACAGGTAGGTGGTGGTTAGTGCTACAGGTATAGGTACAGGTGGGTGGTGTTTAGAATCACAGGTACATGGTCTTTAGTGCTACACTACATGTGTTTATAGTTACAGGTACAGGTTGGTGGTGTTTAGTGTTACATTTAAGTGGTTTTAGAGTTATCCTACAGGTAGGTGGTGTTTTGTGTTACCGGTACAGGTGTAGGTAGGTGGTGTTTAGTGTTACGGCACAAGTAGGTGGTGTTTAGTGATACAGGTAGGTCGTGGTTGTTGTTGCAATTAGGTAGTGTTTAGTGTAACTAAGTTTACAGGTACAGATAGGTGGTCTTTGGCGCTATAGCTTTGTTTTGTTTTTTGTTTTTAGTTTTTATGTTAGGTACAACTAGGTGGTATTTAGTGTTACATGTAGTTTGTATTTCACTACAGGTAGGTGGTAAAAGGTAGTTAAACGTAAGTGCTATAGAAATGTGCACTCATATTAGTGCATAAAGGCAGTTTTTTTCAACCCTCACAAAAACCATCAGATCTAGTATCTGAAGAAGAAAAGTCGAAATCAGCACAAAATAAGAAGGGCTGTCCTTATTGGGGGGTCATCTAGCTTTGAATGAAAAAACCAATTACTTAGCAGACTTCCATCCAGGCGCCCCCACCCCCGGGGCTTAGGTTGTAAGGGAGGGTGAGGTTAATCAGTAGAAGCTGGTGTCATGAGGACTCTGGTACTTCCAAGGTTGTGTGCCGGCAGTAATGTCTTACCTCCATGCTCACGTCGATAATATTCTGGCATACAGTAATAATCTTCCTGGAACTATTGACATGTAAATAAATATCGTCATTGTATTGTAGTTAGATTTGTTAGCGCAAAGTTAAGTTTATCATCCGTGACTTTATTATTATATGGGGCTACAGGTCAAAAAACGAACTTTATCATTCTAGATTTGTCAAAAAACTAACTTTATAATTCTAATAAACGTTATATTTCTAGACTTGACAAAAAACTAATTTTATCATCCTAGACATGTCGGCTAAAAACTAACTTTATAATCCTAAACTTGTCAAAAAACTAATTATTCATCCTAAACTTGTCAAAAAAACTAACTTTTCATCCTAAACTTGTCAAAAAACTAACTTTGTCACCCTATACTAGTTGGCTCAAAATAACTCTATTAATCTAAACTTGTCAAAAACTAACTTTATAATCCTAAACTTGTCAAAACCTATATCATCCTAAACTTGTCAAAACCTGTATCATACTAAACTTGTCAAAACCTGTATCATACTAAACTTGTCAAAACCTGTATCATCCTAAACTTGTCAAAACCTGCATCATCCTAAACTTGTCAAAACCTGCATCATCCTAAACTTGTCGAAACCTGTATCACCCTAAAGTTGCCAAAAATTCACATTATAATTCTAAACTTGTCAAAAACCTGTATCATCCTAAACTTGTCAAAAATTAACTTTATAATTCTAAACTTGTCAAAAACTTGTATCATCCTAAACTTGTCAAAAATTAACTTTAAAATTCTAAACTTGTCAAAACCTGTATCATCCTAAACTTGTCAAAAATTAACTTTATAATTCTAAACTTGTCAAAACCTGTTTCTCCCTAAACTTGTCAAAACCTGTATTATCCTAAACTTGTCAAAACCTGTATCATTCTAGACTTGTCGGCACATTCCGCATGATCCTGCAGGAGCTGATAGAGGTCGGGAATGTCAAGATCTCAGACAGTCTGCTCGACAGCAACAACGTCGTTATGAAGGTGAGGCTAGGTCCTTGACCTTTCCTGGGTAAAGGTTAATGTTGGTAAAGATTTTTTTTTGTGACAACTTGTGTCAATCTCTGACAACTTGTGTCAACATGTGACAATATGTCACAACCTGTGACAACTTATCACACCTTGTGACAATGTGTGATAAATTGTGTCAATCTCTGACAACTTGTGTCAACATATGACAAATTGTGTCAACGTGTGACAACCTGTGACAACTCACAGAACAGCTGTACTAACACAATTATTTTAGTGATAAAGCTTTACTAATAGTATTTTAATTGTTCTAAGACATATTACCCCTCCCAACCTCGTCTCGTCAACAATATTTCTTTTTTTTTCTTTTTCTTTCCGGCGGGGGGGGGGGGGGGGGGGTACGACGACGACGACGACACACAGTTAAAAGTATATAGTTTCTATATAAATTCTATTTTGTTCGGGGGGGGGGGGGGTAGATTTTTTGCCCCCCCCCCTTCCTCGAAGGGATGTCTGGAAGAAACTCTGCCCCCCCCCCCTCCCTTCTCCCAGCGTTATCACCCACTGCTATTAACCCCCCCCCCCCCATTCTTAAACATCTTCTGTTGGATATAACATCTTCGTCAAATATAAATAGACCACGAATCTAATCCTTACATTGGGGAAGAGGAATTATACACACTAAAGTTACATGTAGCCAACTATCTTCCACTCAAAATATTTTGTTAACTAATTGCAAAATGCCGCACTAATTTCAGGAGCCACATCCGGCTCCGTCACATCCGGCTCCGTCACTGACGATTGTCAGCCATTGGCTGAAGTCTTACAACAGATCTCATCAAACGTAATGAAAAATTTAACGCACATTTTCTCTTTTCTATTACTCTCCGATTGTCTGTTTATTCATAAGACGGTTATGACGAAATCAGGAGATTGACACGTGACTTTGATCTGCTCATGCGCAAGCTCTATCATGGCTATAATCCACCCTCCACCCCACCATTTAACCCACACTCTAATGCCTATGACCCACCCTCCCATAGACCCACCCACCTTTTAACCCACACTCTAATGCCTATGACCCACCCTCCCATAGACCCACCCACCTTTTAACACACTCTAATACCTATGACCCACCCTCCCATAGACCCACCCACCTTTTAACCCACACTCTAATGCCTATGACCCACCCTCCCATAGACCCACCCACCATTTAACCCACACTCTAATACCTATGACCCACCCTCCCATAGACCCACCCACCTTTTAACCCACACTCTAATACCTATGACCCACCCTCCCATAGACCCACCCACCATTTAACCCACACTCTAATACCTATGACCCACCCTCCCATAGACCCACCCACCTTTTAACCCACACTCTAATGCCTATGACCCACCCTCCCATAGACCCACCCACCTTTTAACACACTCTAATACCTATGACCCACCCTCCCATAGACCCACCCACCTTTTAACCCACACTCTAATGCCTATGACCCACCCTCCCATAGACCCACCCACCTTTTAACACACTCTAATACCTATGACCCACCCTCCCATAGACCCACCCACCTTTTAACCCACACTCTAATGCCTATGACCCACCCTCCCATAGACCCACCCACCATTTAACCCACACTCTAATACCTATGACCCACCCTCCCATAGACCCACCCACCTTTTAACCCACACTCTAATACCTATGACCCACCCTCCCATAGACCCACCCACCATTTAACCCACACTCTAATACCTATGACCCACCCTCCCATAGACCCACCCACCTTTTAACCCACACTCTAATGCCTATGACCCACCCTCCCATAGACCCACCCACCTTTTAACCCACACTCTAATACCTATGACCCACCCTCCCATAGACCCACCCACCATTTAACCCACACTCTAATACCTATGACCCACCCTCCCATAGACCCACCCACCATTTAACCCACACTCTAATACCTATGACCCACCCTCCCATAGACCCACCCACCTTTTAACCCACACTCTAATACCTATGACCCACCCTCCCATAGACCCACCCACCATTTAACCCACACTCTAATACCTATGACCCACCCTCCCATAGACCCACCCACCATTTAACCCACACTCTAATACCTATGACCCACCCTCCCATAGACCCACCCACCTTTTAACCCACACTCTAATACCTATGACCCACCCTCCCATAGACCCACCCACCTTTTAACACACTCTAATACCTATGAACCACCCTCCCAGAGACCCACCCACCATATAACCCCCCCCCCCCCCACTCTAATACCTATGACCCACCCTCCCATATAAAACCTATGACCACCCTCCCATATAAAACCTATGACCCACCCTCCCATATAAAACCTATGACCACCCTCCCATATAAAACCTATGACCACCCTCCCATATAAAACCTATGACCCACCCTCCCATATAAAAACTATGGCCATCCTCCCATATAAAACCTATGACCATCCTTCCATATAAAACCTATTGCCATCCTCCCATATAAAACTATGGCCATCCTCCCATATAAAACCTATGACCACCCTCCCATATAAAACCTATGACCACCCTCCCATATAAAACCTATGACCACCTTCCCATATAAAACCTATGACCACCCTCCCATATAAAACCTATGACCCATCCTCCCTATAAAACCTATGGCCACCCTCCCATATAAAACCTATGACCACCCTCCCATATAAAACCTATGGCCATCCTCCCTATAAAACTATGGCCATCCTCCCGTTAACAATCATAGCTTTCCCCTCAGCTTTTAAATATTCTCCGTCTAACTAACCTATCACCAACCCTAGCCCGCTCACAGAGTACCATAGTCTTTGACCTCTCGTCTTATGGTCTCATAACCTGTGACCTTTCCTACCATGAACACATTTTTGACCTATCCACCCAGACTATTATTTAACTTGTATGCACATCCTTGACCTATTTTCCCAGACTAACCTTTAACCTATCCTCCCACAGAGTAACCTTTGACCTGACCTACCATACTAACCTTGACCTTCCCTCTCAGACTAACCTTAAAACCACCCTCCCAGGCCCTCCCAGACCAACCTTTGACCTATATTCCCAACCTTGACCTCACACATCAGACTGACCTTTTACTAACCTTGACCTCTCCTCCCACAGACCAGCATAACCTTCGAGCTGACTTACAACGCGCCAGACGGCTCGGTGGGGCTATGGCAGAAAGGAGGGTTCCAGAAACTCAAGAGCACCGAGCTCAGGCGAGGGCTAAACGAGGAGGAACAGCTCAATGAGCTTAACAAACAGGAGCACAAGTCTTTCCTGGAGTACGACAAGTAGGTCACCGTGAAGGAGAATGGGGTCACAGTAAAGGTGAAGTAGGTCACGGGGTGGTCTAAGTGGGTCTCCACTAAGCCTAAGTAGGCCCATGTGTTGGGACGTAGCAACCATATCACCGAGGTGGACGCCTTTCTTATAAGTCACCAGGCCTTATCGAGTGAGTGACCTATAGCAGGGGTCGGCAACCTTTTGAAGCGGAAGAGCCAAAAGTTAAAATTTTCAAAATTTCCATGGTGTTAAAGAGCCACTAACAATTTTTTTATTTCAAGTATTTTATTTTTTGATCAAGATTATTAGTATTTGTGCAAGGAGCTGGAGAGCCGCATCTTGACATCAAAAGAGCCGCATGCGGCTCGCGAGCCGCAGGTTGCCGACCCCTGACCTATAGTTCTGTTTTTATTCATCATAATGGAGATACGAACTTTAACCAGGTCTAAATATTGCACTTTAATTTAATTCTCTTCTGAGCTTAGTTGTTTTTTTTTTTTTTTTTACAATACGCTCCATACTCAATGTAGTCTCTGAAAGTAAATTAAAAAATCGAATATCTGATCCGTTTGTAACAGTGATATGAAATGTCAGCCTTAAAGTGTTTACAAATCAAAATTCAATAATCGCTAAGGTCTTTTCATTTAAACTAGAACGAAAGAATATTTAATTTAAGCAATAAAACAAAAACCATTTATACAAAACCACAACATTGTATAATACAAAAGCTTATTTAGAAATAAATAATCCTCCTGATTTTCATTGCTTTTACTACTGACTTTCTCAGTATTTTTTTCCCTTTTTGGCAATACAGTTATTGGTTATTTCCCTTTACTATCAAGTCATTAACAAGGAATTAGCTAGCGAATATTTTTAAAAAATTGCATTATTTCAAAACTTATTTAACATTATTCTAACAATATATTTTAATGTTTTATAAATGTTGTATATATATATATATATATATATATATATATATATATATATATATATATATATATATATATATATATATATATATATATATATATCTACAGTGGCGTAGCGAGGTCGGGTGGGGTGTCACCCGGTGCGGCACTTAATGATTGGTGTCACCCCCCCCCAGAGGCGTTGCGACCCTTACCGGGGACAAACTGTTAAGTTTTCGATTTGCACCCCCCCCCTCAAACTTTCGATTTGCACCCCCCCTCAAGTTTTCGATTTGCACCCCCCCCCCCCCTCAAGTTTTCGATTTGCATCCCCCCCCCCCCTCAAACTTTCGATTTGCACCCCCCCTCAAGTTTTTCTCTCTATATTTTGCCATTTTTTGCCTTGGTGTCACCCCCCTAAATGGTGTCACCCGGTGCGATCCGCACCCCCCGCCCCCCCCCCTCGCTACGCCCCTGTATATATACATATATATATATATATATATATATATATATATATATATATATATATATATATATATATATATATATATATATATATATATATATATATATGGGTGGGGGTGTCCTGAAGCTGTCAGACCTAGTGGTAAACTGAGTTGGTGGTTTTTGTTAGAGACACAGACACTGAATGTTTGATCACCACCACACCCTCCCCGTCTACCAAGGGTTCCATGCTGAGCCTAGTATCCAATTCTTCAGCCAGCAAGTCGCCGAAAAGGTACGTCTCACCAATACACGGTCTCACCAATACACGGTCTCACCAATACACGGTCTCACCAATACACGGTCTCACCAATACACGGTCTCACCAATAAACGGTCTCACCAATACACGGTCTCACCAATACACGGTCTCACCAATACACGGTCTCACCAATGCACGGTCTCACCAATACACGGTCTCACCAATACACATTCTCACCAATACACGGTCTCACCAATACACGGTCTCACCAATACACAGTCTCTCCAATATACGGTCTGACCAGTACACGAATACACGGTCTCACCAATACACGGTCTCACGAATACATGGGCCCACCAATACACGGTCTCACCAATACACGGTCTCACCAATACACGGTCTCACCAATACACGGTCTCACCAATACATGGTCTCACCAATACATGGTCTCACCAATACACGGTCTCACCAATACACGGTCTCACCAATACACGGTCTCACCAATACACGGTCTCACCAATACATGGTCTCACCAATACACGGTCTCACCAAAACAGTCTCAACAATACACGGTCTCACCATTACGAGGTCTCACCAATACACGGTCTCACCAACACACGGCCTCACTAATACACCAATACACGGTCTCACCAATACACACGGTCTCACCAATACACGGTCTCACCAATACACGAATACATGGTCTCACCAATACACGGTCTCACTAATACACACGGTCTCACCAATACATGGTCTCACCAATACACGAATACATGGTCTCATCAATACACGGTCTCACCAATACACGGTCTCACCAATACACGGTCTCACCAATACACGGTCTCACCAATACACGGTTTCACCAATTCACGAATACACGGTCTCACCAATACACGAATACATGGTCACACCAATACACGGTCTCACTAATACACGGACTCACTAATACACGGTCTCACTAATACACGGTCTCGACAAAACACACGGTCTTATCAATACACCCATACGGTCTCACCAATACACAAATACACGGTCTCACCAATACACCAATACACGGTCTTACCAATACACGGTCTCACCAATACACAAATACACGGTCTCACCAATACAGGGTCTAACCAATACTTACATAAATCGCTTCATTAATGTTTACACTGGTTCACTAATTCAAACATCAGTACCTTAATGAATACACTGGTTCACTAATGAAATCAATCGGTTCACTAATGCTCACAGACATACTAACCTTACCCCACCCCGGTTCGTGTCTGCCCACATTGTTTCATCATATTTCGACGTGTTTTTAAACTACCTCGGTACATAGACGTATCGCTTGTTTAAAGGTTCCAATTATTAAACAGACACGATCCTGTATTTACCTCAAATAACTGAAAGTAAAACGGAGCCTAACAGAGGTTCCCATCAAGTGTGATAAAAAATTCATCACTCATATTGTAATGTGTTTATTGTTTCCCTAATGTATGGTTGTTCGCTTCGAGAACTGTAGCCGAATCAGAAGAACGACAAGTTAATTTGTACTGCTTCTACAAAAACACATACCCATACGTCTTATAATGATCGATATTTATAACTTACTCGCAGATATAAACATTATTTTCAACACATACTTTCTTAAATAAAGTCTTTCGCAAACACACTCATATAAATATATATAAATTTTACCCAAACTAACTCACATGAACATAACGTTATATCAATGCCTCCAAATGCACGGAAAGTTATCTTGCTGTAATGCTGTATTCGTCTATCATGATACACTGATATCCCTTTCTCTCCGACAATCAAGCTGGTATCCTTTTATCTCTTCTGTGTAATACATACCTTTCTATCACAAAGTATCCTTGTTATTAGACATGCAAGGATCACTACATTTCTTTCATGCTTTTATGAATGTGACATCATTTCCAGATCTGTTTTGTATCATGTTCTATCCTTGTATCATATTGTATCCTTGTATCATAGTGTATCCTTGTATTTCTATAGTGTATCCTTGTATCATATTGTATCTGTGTATCATATTGTATCCTTGTATCATATTGTATCCATATATCATGTTGTATCCTTGTATCATGTTCTATCCTTGTATCATATTGTATCCTTGTATCATAGTGTATCCTTGTATTTCTATTGTGTATCCTTGCATCATATTGTATCTGTGTATCATATTGTATCCTTGTATCATATTGTATCCATATATCATGTTATATCCTTGTATCATATTGTATCCTTGTATCATATTGTATCCTTGTATCATATTGTATCCTTGTATCATATTCTATCCTTGTATCATATTCTATCCTTGTATCATATTTTATCTTTGTATCATATTGTATACTTGTATCATATTGTATCCTTGTATCATATTGTATCCTTGTATCATATTTTATCCTTTTATCATATTGTATCCTTGTACCACTATATTGTATCCTTGTATCTCTATATTGTATCCTTGTATCATGATACGCCGTGCGGCCTATCTTTCAGCACAAGCAGCAAGTTTGGGTCGGTGGTCAAGATGGCTATGATGATGCGTCAGAGGTCAGCCACGCCGGAAACAGAGGAGGACAGAGTGACCTTGACTGACCAGTTAGATCCAGGTTAGCTGATGTTTGCGTTATGGTCTGTTAGGGTTATGGTTTGTTTTGGTCATGGTCTGTTCGAGGAATGGTTTTCTTGTGCTATGTTTATGTTTGAGTTCTAGTTTATTTCGGCCATATTCGGTTTAGGCTATGGTCAATTTGGGTTACAATTTGCAAAAACTGTCTTTTTGGATGATGGTATATTTAGGTTATCATCATCATCATTATCATCATCATCATCCCCATCATCATCCCTATCATCATCCCCATCATCATCATAATCATTATCATCATCATCATTATTATCATCATCATCATCATCCCCATCATCATCATCATCATCATCATAATTTTCATCATCTTCTTCATCTCTTGGTGAGAGGCATCAACAAGTGAGCGCCATTACAACCTGTCTCTAGCTATAACCTCAGCCTGTTGGAATGTTCGGCCACTTTCCCTCAACATTTTCTCCATTGATCTTCTCCATCTTTCTTTTAGTCGCCATTGTTTTCTCTTGCCCTGTGTTATCTGCAGTCCAAGCCAATGTATCTGCGCTCATTCTTAAAACACGAGCCAACCATCTCCATCTTCTGTGTCTGTTTTGGGTTATGGTCAGGGTGGGTTATTGTCAGTCTGGGTCATGGTCAGTGAGTGTTATGGTCAGTGAGTGTTATGGTCAGGGTGGGTTATGGTCAGGGTGGGTTATGGTCAGGGTGGGTTATGGTCAGGGTGGGTTATGGTCAGGGTGAGTTATAGACAGGGTGGGTTATGGTCAGGGTGGGTTATAGACAGGGTGGGTTATGGTCAGGGTGGGTTATAGACAGGGTGGGTCATGGTCAGTGTGGGTCTTGCTTAGTCAATGTGGGTCATGGTCAGTGTGGGTCATGGTCAGTGTGGGTCATGGTCAGTGTGGGTCATGGTCAGTGTGGGTCATGGTCAGTGTGGGTCATGGTTAGTGTGGGTCATGGTCGGTGTGGGTCATGGTCAGTGTGGGTCATGGTCAGTGTGGGTCATGGTCAGTGTGGGTCATGGTCAGTGTGAGTCATGGTCAGTGTGGGTAATGGTCAGTGTGAGTCATGGTCAGTGTGGGTCATGGTCAGTGTGGGTCATGGTCAGTGTGGGTCATGGTCAGTGTGGGTCATGGTCAGTATGAGTTTTCGTTTGAAGCAGAAGTTAAAACGTTAAGAGGGGGTCCCTTGTTATTTGTAATGGCTGGAAAAAATCTTCTCCCCCCCCCCACCCACCCCACCCATTTCTCCTGCCATGTTTTACCGGAAATAGCTCGATTGCCGCCATGAAAGTATCGCGTTCAGTTTCTGGTCTCGAGATCGAAGTAAAAGTGGGTGGTCATTATAGTGACCGCATGATTCCTTACAGGAGCCACACCAACTAGTGGTTTTTTTCATCACACCTACATTGTACAGAATTCTGCGCCATTCTTTAATGTGTGGAGGGGAAGGGGTAAACTTGTAAGGAGTGTGCAATAGAATATTGTAAGGCTACTGTGGGGGATAAGAGCAATTTTAAACTTAACGATCCATTATTGCCATAATTGGTTATAAAAAAATTAACGTAAATTCGAACTTTGATAGTGTTAAGTGTTAGGGTGGGATGGTTAAATACTGTGGACCAAACGAAATTTCTAGAACTCGCTCCAACTTTTGTATCTGCTCTCGACAGACTCGAGCGATCTTGATGCCCGGGCAGCGGAAGTGGCATCCATGTTGGCCAGGACCAACAGGAATGTGGAGCCTGAGGACACGAGCACCATGCCCACCCCCATCACAGGGCAGATGAAAAGGTAAGCATTACAGGGCAGATAGGTAGGCATCACATGGCAGATGAAAAGGTAAGCATTACAGGGCAGATGAAAAGGTAAGCATTACAGGGCATATGAAAAGGTACGGAGGGCCGTCCATGAGTTCACCCAGCTCAGATGGGTACCTAACTCGCGTTAGGGAAAGTAAAGGCGGCTGGGCATAGTGCTGACCACACTATCACTTCATATGCCTAGGTCACAGAAACAGGTGAACTCTACTTCACTTACCCCATCGACCGTCAGGTTTGGAAGGGGAACTTTATTTTACTTACAGGGCAGATAAAAAGGTATGTGTATGTCATTGACTAGATATATCATAATACTTGTCATCTATTAAAGCAGTAAATGACAGAAGAACGCAATAATGACATCTGAATACAGGTTGTTACTGTCATCTGTGCATGACATTTTTTTTAAAGCGGGTAAATGATAATAAATGCCACATATGTCATCAAGCTGTAGACGTCAATTAATGGTAAACTTACAGGTGTCATCTACCAAGGTTGATAATCATAGTAGATGTCACATGTCATCTAGATATGTTGTAAAATGTTTGTATTTTGACATCGGGCTGACCAAGTAAATGCTCATGCTAATAGTAATGGCAGTAGAAAAAAGTAAATGCGACTTATACATGAATAATAAAAAAAAACAATGTAACCTTTGACCCTTGCCCCCCAGAAACAAGACAACCTTGATGACAGAAGACTCGCTCATGAAAGCTCAAGATTTCCAGGTGATCCCGTCGTTTCTTGTTTTTTTTTTATGGCGTCTTATTTAAAAACAACGCAATACTTCTTACATATTCTATACCGTCTTGTTTAAAAAACAAACACTTCTTCGATATTCTGTACAATCTCGTTTAAAAAACAACGCAACACTTCTTCGATATTCAATACCGTCTTGTTTAAAAAAAACAAAAACAACATTTCTTAGATATTCTATACCGTCTTGTTTTAAAAAAAAACGCAACACTTCTTAGATATTCTATACTGTCTTGTTTAAAAAAAACGCAACACTTCTGAGATATTCTATACCGTCTTGTTTTAAAAAGAAACGTAACACTTCTGAGATATTCTATACCGTCTTGTTTAAAAAACAACGCAACACTTCTTAGATATTCTGTACAATCTTGTTTAAAAAATATCGCAACACTTCTTAGATATTCTGTACAATCTTGTTTAAAAACAACGCAACACTTCTTAGATATTCTATACCGTCTTGTTTAAAAAAAAACAACGCAACACTTCTTAGATATTCTATACCGTCTTGTTTAAAAAAAAACAACGCAACACTTCTTAGATATTCTATACCGTCTTGTTTAAAAACAATACCCACATCACATTACTTCCAGATTATTCCATCGCATCTTGCTTGATTAAAAAACAACATCACATGCCTTTTTAGTTGTTTTTTTTTAATTTCCTCTCTCGTATATCTATGAGCACTAGATTTTTGATTCCCCCTCTTGAGGTATGTGCAATTATTAGGATTTTGAATCACTCTCTTGCAAATCTGTGAATATTAGGTCTTTGATTCCCTCTCTTGCAAGTCTGTGACCATTAGGTCTTTGACTCCCTCTCTTGTAGGTCTGTGTGGTCATTAGGTCTTTGACTCCCTCTCTTGTAGGTCTGTGACCATTAGGTCTTTGAGTTCTGTAACCATTAGTTCTTTGATTCCCTCTCTTGTAGGTCTGTGACCATTAGGTCTTTGAGTTATGTGACCATTAGGTCTTTGATTCCCTCTCTTGTAGGTCTGTGACCATTAGGTTTTTGAGTTCTGTGACTATTAGGTCTTTGACTCCCTCTCTTGTAGGTCTGTGTGGTCATTAGGTCTTTGATTCCCTCTCTTGTAGGTCTGTGACCATTAGGTCTTTGAGTTCTGTGACCATTAGGTCTTTGATTCCCTCTCTTGTAGGTCTGTGACCATTAGGTCTTTGAGTTATGTGACCATTAGGTCTTTGATTCCCTCACTTGTAGGTCTGTGACCATTAGGTTTTTGAGTTCTGTGACTATTAGGTCTTTGACTCCCTCTCTTGTAGGTCTGTGTGGTCATTAGGTCTTTGATTCCCTCTCTTGTAGGTCTGTGACCATTAGGTCTTTGAGTTCTGTGACCATTAGGTCTTTGATTACCTCTCTTGTAGGCCTGTGACCATTAGGTCTTTCACTCCCTCTCTAGTAGGTCTGTGACCATTAGGTCTTTAATTCCCTCTATTGTAGGTCTGTGAGGTCATTAGGTCTTTGACTCCCTGTCTTGCAGGTCTGTGTGACCATCATAGAAGCCAGACAGCTGGCAGGACTCAACATGGACCCTGTGGTGTGTGTCCAGGTGGGTGACCAGAAGAAATACACCAGCGTCAAGGAGTCGACCAACTGCCCGTATTACAATGAGGTCAGTCACGTGACTGTTGCGTGGGTGTTGGTGTGGTGTGGTGTAGTGTGTGGTCAAGTGTGGTGTGTGGTCAAGTGTGGTGTGGTGTGGTGTGAGGTCAAGTGTGGTGTGGTGTGGTGTGAGGTCAAGTGTGGTGTGGTGTGGTGTGAGGTCAAGTGTGGTGTGTGGTCAAGTGTGGTGTGTGGTCAAGTGTGGTGTGTGGTCAAGTGTGGTGTGGGGTCAAGTGTTGCGTTTGTTAGTGTGGTGTGTGGGACAGTGAGGTGTGTGGTCCGGTGTGGTGTGTGGTCCAGTGTGGTGTGTGGTCCAGTGTGGTGTGTGGTCGAGTGTGGTGTGTGGTCCAGTGTGGTGTGTGGTCAAGTGTGGTGTGTGGTCAAGTGTGGCGTGTGGGACAGTGTGGTGTGTGGTCCAGTGTTGTGTGTGGGACAGTGTTGTGTGGTCCAGTGTGGTGTGTGGTCAAGTGTGGCGTGTGGTACAGTTTGATTTTGATGTGTGGTCCAGTGTGGTGTGTGGTCCAGTTTTGTGTGTGGGACAGTGTGGTGTGTGGTCCAGTGTTGTGTGTGGGACAGTGTTGTGTGGTCCAGTGTGGTGTGTGGGACAGTGTGGTGTGTGGGACAGTGTGGTGTGTGGTACAGTGTGGTGTATGGTCCAGTGTGGTGTGTGGTCCAGTGTTGTGTGTGGGACAGTGTGGTGTGTGGTCCAGTGTGGTGTGTGGTCCAGTGTTGTGTGTGGGACAGTGTGGTGTGTGGTCCAGTGTTGTGTGTGGGACAGTGTTGTGTGGTCCAGTGTGGTGTGTGGGACAGTGTGGTGTGTGGGACAGTGTGGTGTGTGGTCCAGTGTGGTGTATGGTCCAGTGTGGTGTGTGGTCCAGTGTTGTGTGTGGGACAGTGTGGTGTGTGGTCCAGTGTGGTGTGTGGTCCAGTGTTGTGTGTGGGACAGTGTGGTGTGTGGTCCAGTGTTGTGTGTGGGACAGTGTTGTGTAGTCCAGTGTGGTGTGTGGGACAGTGTGGTGTGTGGTCCAGTGTGGTGTGTGGTCCAGTGTGGTGTGTGGTCCAGTGTGGTGTATGGTACAGTGTATTGTGTGGTCCAGTGTGGTGTGTGGGACAGTGTGGTGTGTGGTCCAGTGTTGTGTGTGGGACAGTGTGGTGTATGGTACAGTGTGTTGTGTGGTACAGTGTGGTGTGTGGTACAGTGTGGCGTATGGTACAGTGTGTTGTGTGGTCCAGTGTTGTGTGTGGGACAGTGTGGTGTGTGGTCCAGTGTGGTGTATGGTACAGTGTGTTGTGTGGTCCAGTGTGGTGTGTGGTCCAGTGTTGTGTGTGGGACAGTGTGGTGTGTGGGACAGTGTTGTGTGTGGTACAGTGTGGTGTGTGGTCCAGTGTGGTGTGTGGTCCAGTGTTGTGTGTGGGACAGTGTTGTGTGTGGGACAGTGTGGTGTGTGGTCCAGTGTGTTGTGTGGTCCAGTGTGGTGTGTGGGACAGTGTGGTGTATGGTCCAGTGTGGTGTATGGTCAAGTGTGGCGTGTGGTACAGTTTGATTTTGATGTGTGGTCCAGTGTGGTGTCTGGTCCAGTGTTGTGTGTGGGACAGTGTGGTGTGTGGTCCAGTGTGGTGTGTGGTCCAGTGTGGTGTGTGGGACAGTGTGGTGTGTGGTCCAGTGTGGTGTATGGTACAGTGTGGTGTATGGTACAGTGTGTTGTGTGGTCCAGTGTGGTGTGTGGGACAGTGTTGTGTGGTCCAGTGTGGTGTATGGTCCAGTGTGGTGTGTGGGACAGTGTGGTGTGTGGTCCAGTGTGGTGTGTGGTCCAGTGTGGTGTGTGGTCCAGTGTGGTGTATGGTACAGTGTGTTGTGTGGTCCAGTGTGGTGTGTGGGACAGTGTGGTGTGTGGTCCAGTGTTGTGTGTGGGACAGTGTGGTGTGTGGTCCAGTGTGGTGTATGGTACAGTGTGTTGTGTGGTCCAGTGTGGTGTGTGGTCCAGTGTTGTGTGTGGGACAGTGTGGTGTATGGTACAGTGTGGTGTGTGGTACAGTGTGATGTGTGGTCCAGTGTGGTGTGTGGTCCAGTGTTGTGTGTGGGACAGTGTGTTGTGTGGTCCAGTGTTGTGTGTGGGACAGTGTTGTGTGTGGGACAGTGTGGTGTGTGGTCCAGTGTGTTGTGTGGTCCAGTGTGGTGTGCGGGAAAGTGTGGTGTGTGGTCCAGTGTGGTGTATGGTACAGTGTATTGTGTGGTCCAGTGTGGTGTGTGGGACAGTGTGGTGTGTGGTCCAGTGTTGTGTGTGGGACAGTGTGGTGTATGGTACAGTGTGTTGTGTGGTACAGTGTGGTGTGTGGTACAGTGTGGCGTATGGTACAGTGTGTTGTGTGGTCCAGTGTTGTGTGTGGGACAGTGTGGTGTGTGGTCCAGTGTGGTGTATGGTACAGTGTGTTGTGTGGTCCAGTGTGGTGTGTGGTCCAGTGTTGTGTGTGGGACAGTGTGGTGTATGGTACAGTGTGGTGTGTGGTCCAGTGTGGTGTGTGGTACAGTGTGGTGTGTGGTCCAGTGTGGTGTGTGGTCCAGTGTTGTGTGTGGGACAGTGTTGTGTGTGGGACAGTGTGGTGTGTGGTCCAGTGTGTTGTGTGGTCCAGTGTGGTGTGTGGGACAGTGTGGTGTATGGTCCAGTGTGGTGTATGGTCAAGTGTGGCGTGTGGTACAGTTTGATTTTGATGTGTGGTCCAGTGTGGTGTCTGGTCCAGTGTTGTGTGTGGGACAGTGTGGTGTGTGGTCCAGTGTGGTGTGTGGTCCAGTGTGGTGTGTGGGACAGTGTGGTATGTGGTCCAGTGTGGTGTATGGTACAGTGTGGTGTATGGTACAGTGTGTTGTGTGGTCCAGTGTGGTGTGTGGGACAGTGTTGTGTGGTCCAGTGTGGTGTATGGTCCAGTGTGGTGTGTGGGACAGTGTGGTGTGTGGTCCAGTGTGGTGTGTGGTCCAGTGTGGTGTGTGGTCCAGTGTGGTGTATGGTACAGTGTGTTGTGTGGTCCAGTGTGGTGTGTGGGACAGTGTGGTGTGTGGTCCAGTGTTGTGTGTGGGACAGTGTGGTGTGTGGTCCAGTGTGGTGTATGGTACAGTGTGTTGTGTGGTCCAGTGTGGTGTGTGGTCCAGTGTTGTGTGTGGGACAGTGTGGTGTATGGTACAGTGTGGTGTGTGGTACAGTGTGATGTGTGGTCCAGTGTGGTGTGTGGTCCAGTGTTGTGTGTGGGACAGTGTGTTGTGTGGTCCAGTGTTGTGTGTGGGACAGTGTTGTGTGTGGGACAGTGTGGTGTGTGGTCCAGTGTGTTGTGTGGTCCAGTGTGGTGTGCGGGACAGTGTGGTGTATGGTCCAGTGTGGTGTATGGTCAAGTGTGGCGTGTGGTACAATTTGATTTTGATGTGTGGTCCAGTGTGGTGTCTGGTCCAGAGTTGTGTGTGGGACAGTGTGGTGTGTGGTCCAGTGTGGTGTGTGGGACAGTGTGGTGTGTGGTCCAGTGTGGTGTGTGGGACAGTGTGGTGTGTGGTCCAGTGTGGTGTATGGTACAGTGTGGTGTATGGTACAGTGTGTTGTGTGGTCCAGTGTGGTGTGTGGGACAGTGTTGTGTGGTCCAGTGTGGTGTATGGTCCAGTGTGGTGTGTGGGACAGTGTGGTGTGTGGTCCAGTGTGGTGTGTGGTCCAGTGTGGTGTGTGGGACAGTGTGGTGTATGGTACAGTGTGGTGTGTGGTCCAGTGTGGTGTGTGGTCCAGTGTGGTTTGTGGGACAGTGTGGTGTGTGGTCCAGTGTGGTGGTGGTCAAGTGTGGCGTGTGGTACAGTTTGATTTTGATGTGTGGTCCAGTGTGGTGTATGGTCCAGTGTGGTGTATGGTACAGTGTGTTGTGTGGTCCAGTGTGGTGTGTGGGACAGTGTGGTGTGTGGTCCAGTGTGTTGTGTGGTCCAGTGTGGTGTATGGTACAGTGTGTTGTGTGGTCCAGTGTGGTGTGTGGGACAGTGTGGTGTATGGTACAGTGTGTTGTGTGGTCCAGTGTGGTGTGTGGTCCAGTGTGGTGTATGGTACAGTGTGTTGTGTGGTCCAGTGTGGTGTATGGTCCAGTGTGGTGTATGGTACAGTGTGTTGTGTGGTCCAGTGTGGTGTGTGGGACAGTGTGGTGTGTGGTCCAGTGTGGTGTGTGGGACAGTGTGGTGTGTGGTCCAGTGTGGTGTGTGGTCAAGTGTGGCGTGTGGTACAGTTTGATTTTGATGTGTGGTCCAGTGTGGTGTGTGGTCCAGTGTTGTGTGTGGGACAGTGTGGTGTGTGGTCCAGTGTGGTGTGTGGGACAGTGTGGTGTGTGGTCCAGTGTGGTGTGTGGGACAGTGTGGTGTGTGGTCCAGTGTTGTGTGTGGGACAGTGTTGTGTGGTCCAGTGTGGTGTCTGGTCCAGTGTGGTGTGTGGTACAGTGTGGTGTATGGTACAGTGTGTTGTGTGGTACAGTGTGGTGTGTGGTACAGTGTGGTGTGTGGTACAGTGTGGTGTATGGTACAGTGTGTTGTGTGGTACAGTGTGGTGTGTGGTACAGTGTGGTGTATGGTACAGTGTGTTGTGTGGTCCAGTGTGTTGTGTGGTACAGTGTGGTGTGTGGTCCAGTGTGGTGTATGGTACAGTGTGGTGTGTGGGACAGTGTGGTGTATGGTACAGTGTGTTGTGTGGTCCAGTGTGGTGTGTGGTCCAGTGTGGTGTATGGTACAGTGTGGTGTGTGGGACAGTGTGGTGTATGGTACAGTGTGTTGTGTGGTCCAGTGTGGTGTGTGGTCCAGTGTAGTGTGTGGTCCAGTGTGGTGTATGGTACAGTGTGGTGTGTGGGACAGTGTGGTGTATGGTACAGTGTGTTGTGCGGTCCAGTGTGGTGTGTGGTCCAGTGTGGTGTATGGTACAGTGTGGTGTGTGGGACAGTGTGGTGTATGGTACAGTGTGGTGTATGGTCCAGTGTGGTGTGTGGTCCAGTGTGGTGTGTGGGACA